TTTTTCAAGAGGGTCATCGGATAGGCTTATGCCCCCTCCGTATTTGATCAGGATGGGATGAAATGAACCATATAAATAAGAGTTTATAAAAACTATAGGCTTTAAACTGGTGGATTTAAATAATAAATTTCGAGTTTTTTTCCCGCATAAATTTTAAACTAGTTTTAAACTTTCCCTTGGGCCATGTGAGTTGCGTCCAGGGAGCAAGGAATAGAAGGGAGAGACAACTGACGCGGTTCGCCCTACCATATGATTATACATGCTTTGCAGACGAAGTACTTCATTTAGTAGGGCCCCACAGGAAAAATATGTATTGGCGAAACTGGTCAAAGAAAATTGAGCCAATACATATTTTTCCTGTGGGGCCCTACTAAAGAAACCAAACAGCTCGATATAAAATTTTATATCGAGTTTTCCCATTCAACAATTGAAACACATTTTGTTCCCTGTTAACTTGCCTGTTAACAAAGCACAACCTTAGACTCTTATACTGTTAACAATGCATAAGCCTACTCCTATACTGTTAGCAATGCACATCCCTACTGGCCTATACTGTTATCAATGCACAACACTACTCCTATACTGTTAACAATGCTCAACCATACTCTTATACTGTTAATGCACAACCATAGAGAATAGAATATATAGAGAGGAATTTACTAGAAAAAAGTGTAAAGCGGCCATTTTGTTGTACTGTTTCCATACTGCCATATTTATGCTATATAACCTGTTGGGCCCTGGAATATCATTTTATAGAAAATCTAAAATTATTGTTAAAAGAAAACCAAATTATGAAATAGGCTGGTTTCATAACTGACCAATGATCATTTCACATAGACTCTATGCCTTCCACTTTACAAACGATGATTTTCCGTTATAACTATAAATCAAATGATGTTTTTATTGCAAAGCTTTGAACCGGAACCCTCTCTCCTAGTTGAAGAACTCTCCATAATAATACAAGTTGAGTCTTCTACGTTTATTTACAAGGACTCAGTCTAGCAAAAATAAAAGATTAGAATATCTTAAATGACAGAAAGCTTTAGCAGTTAAATATCCAATAATCCCTAATTTGAATAAGGAAAATATAACATATTCAGCATTAAAACTGTGACGAAAACTTTTTAAACAACAAATTACATTATTTAAATATAAAAAGTGAACATACCATATTGGTCCACAGGATACAATAACTTTATCAAACAAAAATCCGTATATACTTTTAATAAGAAAGCTTAAACTACACTGATTATTCTAGAACAAATGCAATACAGTGCAGTACAACAGCCAGTCACATGATAAAACTGGAAAATACGAGTTTGCCGAATCTTCTTGTTTCTAAGACAACCGCTTCACTCAGGGGCAACACAGTCTTCCTCAGGGATAAATAGTTTATGTCTTTTCACAAAACGAAGTTGCGAAACAACTTCTATAATGTTAACAATGCACAACTCTATTGCTGTACTGTTAACAATGCTCAATCCTACTCCTATAATGTTAACAATGAACAACCCTACCCCTAAACTGTTGCTTATTAGGATCCTGTTAGCAATAACAACTCTAGCCCTAAACTGTTAACAATGAACAACCCTTCCCCTAAAAATTTAACAATGGACAACACTACTCCTATGCTGTTAAAAATGCACAACCCTACACCTATACTGTTAACAATGCACAACCCTACTCCTAATCTGTTAGCAATGCACAACCCTACTCCTATACTGTTGCTTATTAGGATCTTGTTAACAATGCAAAGCCCTACCCCTATACTGTTAGCAATGCACAGCCCTACTCCTATACTATTAAGAATGCACAACTCTACCCCTATACTGTTACTTGTTAGGATCCTGATAACAATGCACAACCCTCCTCCTATACTGTTAGCAATGCACAACCCTAGCCCTTACCTGTTAACAATGCACAACCCTACTCCTATACTATTAAGAATGCACAACTCTACTCCTATACTGTTACTTGTTAGGATCCTGAAAACAATGCACAACCCTCCTTCTATACTGTTAACAATGCTCAACCCTACTGCTATACTGTTAACAATGCACAACTCTACTCCTATACTGTTACTTGTTAGGATCCTGATAACAATGCACAACCCTCCTCCTATACTGTTAACAATGCACAACCCTACTGCTGTATTGTTAATAATGCACAACCTTATTCCTATGCTGTTAACAATGCTCAACTCTACCCCTAGACTTTTAACAATGTACAACCCTACTTCTATACTGTTACTTGTTACGGTCCTATTAGCAATGCACAACCCTTCTGCTATACCGTTAACAATGCACAACCCTTCTGCTATACTGTTAACAATGCACAACCCTTCTCCAATGCTGTTAACAATGCACAACCCTATTCCTTTACTGTTAACAATGCACAACCCTACTCCTATACTGTTAACAATGCACAACCCTACTCCTATGCTGTTAACAGTGCACAACCCTATTCATTTACTGTTAACAATGCACAACCCTACTCCTTTACTGTTAACAATGCACAACCATACTCCTTTACTGTTAACAATGCACAACCCTACTCCTTTACTGTTAACAATGCACAACCCTAATCCTAAGCTGTTAACAATGCACAACCCTACTCCTATACTGTTGCTTATTAGGATCCTCTTAACAATATAACAACCCTACTCCTATACTGTTGCTTATTACAATCCTCTTAACAATATAACAACCCTTCTCCTATACTGTTAACAATGCACAACCCTACTCCTATGCTGTTAACAATGCACAACCCTACTTCTTTTCTGTTAACAATGAACAACCCTACTCCTTTACTGTTAACAATGCACAACTCTAATCCTAAGCTGTTAACAATGCACAACCCTACTCCTATATTGTTGCTTATTAGGATCCTGTTAACAATAACAAACATTATCAGTGTAAAAAGATGAGGATGCATTATTTATCTGATATAAAAGAATTTGTTTTCATATTTGCATTATTCATTGAAAATCCCACAATTTCTAAAAGTTTGATAAATCAATACATTTTGCATGTTTAGAGTGGAAGTAAAAGATAAGGGTTGTTTATATAGTAAGCCTTTACTTAATGCTACACTGCTACAGTGATACTGGGTTTACTATAGTTAATCTTTAGGCAATACTACAGTGATACAGGATTTACTATAGTTAGTCTTTACTTAATGCTACAGTGATACAGAATTTACTATATAGTTAGTCTTTACTCAATACTAAAGTGATACAGGGTTTACTATATAGTTAGTCTTTACTGAATACTACAGTGATACAGGGTTTACTATAGTTAGTCTTTACTTGATGCTACAGTGATACAGGATTTACTATATAGTTAGTCTTTACTCAATACTACAGTGATACAGGGTTTACTATATAGTTAGTCTTTACTCAATACTACAGTGATACAGGATTTACTATATAGTTAGTCTTTACTCAATACTAAAGTAATACAGGATTTACTATATAGTTAGTCTATACTCAATACTACAGTGATACAGGGTTTACTATAGTTAGTCTTCACTTGATGCTATATAGTGATACAGGATTTACTATCTTCTATATATAAATTTGGCTTGTCTGTCTGTTTGTCTGTCTGACTGTCTGTCTGTTTGTGTCCAATAAACGTCAAAACGGCTGAACCGATCGGGCCCAAATTTTTTGTGGGACATCTAGGGACCCCAGGGAAGGTTTATGAATGATTGAAATTTTAAATATTTGTCTCCATCAAAATTCGATCGTCATTAAATTTTTTTAAATTTTGAAAATCCACGAAATTTTTTGTGAAAATCTGCATATTATTTTTGTTTTGTTTTACGATGTACACAAAGAGAACATGTTCACAATTAATTTAGAAGATGGGCGCGAAGCGCCCTCTAAGGCTAGTTACTCAATACTACAGTGATACAGGGTTTACTACAATTATTCTTTACTTAATGCTACAGTGATACAGGATTTGCTATATAGTTAGCCTTTACTGAATACTACAGTGATACAGGGTTTACTATATAGTTAGTCTTTACTGAATACTACAGTGATACAGGGTTTACTATAGTTAGTCTTTACTCAATACTACAGTGATACAGGGTTTACTATAGTTAATCTTTACTTAATACTACAGTGGTACAAGGTTTACTATATAGTTAGTCTTTAATCAATACTACAGTGATACAGGATTTACTATAGTTAGTCTTTACTCAATACTACAGTGATACAGGATTTACTATATAGTTAGTCTTTACTCGATAATACAGTGATACAGGGTTTACTATATAGTTAGTCTTTTCTACTCAATGCTACACTGCTACAGTAATACAGGGTTTACTATAGTTAGTCATTACTCAATGCTACACTGCTACAGTGATACTGGGTTTACTATAGTTAGTCTTTACTCTGGTCTATACTTAGATACAGGGTTCAGTTAGTCTTTACTCTGGTCTATACCTAGATACAGGGTTCAGTTAGTCTTTACTCTGGTCTACACTTAGATACAGGGTTTAGTCAGTCTTATTCTGGTCTATACCTAGATACAGGGTGTTAGTCTTACTCTGGTCTATACCTAGATACAGCGTTCAGTTAGTATTACTCTGGTCTATACCTAGATACAGTGTTCAGTTAGTCTTACTCTGGTCTATACCTAGATACAGGGTTCAGTTAGTCTTACTCTGGTCTATAAATAGATACAGGGTTCAGTTAGTCTTACTCTGGTCTATACCTAGATACAGAGTTCAGTTAGTCTTAATCTGGTCTATAAATAGATACAGGATTCAGTTAGTCTTTCTCAGATCTATACCTAGATACAGGGTTCAGTTAATCTTGCTCAGGTCTATACCTAGATACAGAGTTCAGTTAGTCTCACTCTGGTCTATACCTAGATACAGGGTTCAGTTAGTCTTACTCAGATCTATACCCAGATACAGGGTTCAGTTAATCTTGCTTTGGTCTATACCTTTATTTTAGTATTGTAAAATATATTTTTTTAAATGAGGATATTTTTAAGTTTTATTTTTTTCAGAATATGATAAATATCGCAAAAAAGAAACCATCGATGCTTATCATGGTTGTGGCTTGCATCTTACTATTCACAGTAAGAATATTCTAATATTATTTATATAGTTATGACTTTATAAAGGAATTGAGTCTTTGCCACAAACTCAAATTTTCAAATCCCTATATCTTTGCAATCTTATGGTAAAACCCTTTGATATTTAAATCTTAGATTAGATCTGATCTAACAGAATTCATAATTTTAAATATCTAAGGTCTACGACATTGGTTTGCAAAGATATAGGAATTAGAAAATCAGAGTTTGTAGCAAAAACTCAATTCCTTTGTAAACTAACCAACATTTTCTGACACTCAGGTTTATTTAAAAACTAATTAGTTTACAATTTACATCCCACGGGTTTACCTGTTTTCTTGTAGATTTCTACATCCAAGGGTGGATACATGGGGGGGGGGGGTGGCAGGAACTTTTCACTCCCTGACAGATTCAGTTGGGGGGGGGGGGGGCAACGCCCTGACTTCTCAATAGCACTTAAGGGAAAGAAAACCTAGTGCAAAACAGGAAAGTCAAAAAAAAAGTTTCACCTTGGGCGCGTCTTTTGGTTCCTAAATCTGGAAATTTTGTTCAGAAATAAATCTATAGCTTAAGTCCTGTATCCGCCCCTGTCTACATCCATGCAGTTATGGTTGTAGAATAACATATTGGCCCCTTAATATAACTTTATCACTTTATTATTAATTGTTTACATTATTTTAGAGTTATGGCGTTACCCATTGGTATTTCAGTAATGAGTACATATTTCCTGGATCATGTCTTTTTGCAAAACCCGGAAAACGTCCATTAGGTATGAGACAATTGAAATTATGTTTTTTTTATCTTTTGTGCATATTACGCCAAAATCATTAAAATATCAAACTTTTCACAATGTGTTTCTATTTAGAATAGATTTGTGTAAATATGTAAAAACAAATTTGAAACCTATAAAGAGTGAATATTTTGTAAAGGATATGTTCTTGGCTGCAATATTGGCCCCAATATTGTACTGCGTAACTGCACTGACTTTTAAAAAGAGGTTTAACCCCTTATTTTGGAAATAGTTGTCTATTCCTTGCACGCACCATGAGGTATCCAACAACATGTCTAAAGCCCACCCTGGGAGGGAGGGAAGGCAACCATGAGTTTCGGAAACTGTGCGAGGGAATTTGCCTTCCCTCACTCACCCTGGATTAACCAGGGGGAATTCTTTTGGTTTCTTCCATTTTCATTTGATGGCATTTTGGTCTTTTATTCAACAATCTGAAAACTTACATATAGCTGTCTTTTATTCAACAATCTGAAAACTTACATATAGCTGTCTTTTATTCAACAATCTGAAAACTTACATATAGCTGTCTTTTATTCAACAATCTGAAAACTTACATATAGCTGTCTTTTATTCAACAATCTGAAAACTTACATATAGCTGTCTTTTATTCAACAATCTGATAACTTACATATAGCTGTCTTTTATTCAACAATCTGATAACTTACATATAGCTGTCTTTTATTCAACAATCTGAAAACTTACATATTGTCTTTTTCGCATCTCAATTTCAAACGTATAAGCCAACAAAAAATGTATTAAACTGACAGTTTGGCGGGATAAGGTGCGAATTGTTAAATTCGCGGGAAAGTTGAACCATTTAGAGGGGGGTTTGTCTGATCGTGAATTCACAGGTTTCAGATACAAATTTTGCCTTCGAGAGTATTCTTTTAACTTTTTAACCAGGGGGACGATTCGATACCATTTTGGAGTTTTGTGGTGAGCTGTGTGATCTTACAAAGGAACCCAAAACAATTCCTGGAGATGTTATGGGAACTGTTACAGCTAAGGTAACTTACATAGATATAAAAGAATAAGAATTAGTGGCGTATGGAAACATCTGATTAAATTTAATAATAATCCCCTCCCCCTTCCTGACTCCTGAGGAAGAATGTAAAATCTTAGTTAATTTAATAAAATGGTAATCATACCGAGATTTTTCATTGCTTGTATCTAAACAGTCCACATGTTGACATGTATAGAATTCGCCAAAGTATCACCATCATCCCAAGAGATTTAATAGTTTGAAAGGTCTTCCAACTTTAATGTGTTCTTTGTGATGGGAAGTCTGATTGTCATCATTATCACTCACATGTCGGTAGCAAGCAGCAACTAAGCTTCGTTCTAATCCTTTAAGAGTCAACTTTCAACTAGTCTGCAATATTTGTAAACAAACCCCATAAAGGAATTGAGTCTTTGCAACAAATCTCAATTTTCTAATACCTATATATCTACAACCAAATTATGTAAACCTTTGATATTTCAAACTTTGATTGTTTGATATAACAGAAGTCATAGTTTGAAATATCTAAGGTCTTACAACATTGGGTTGTTAAGATATTGGTATTTAAAAATCAGAGTTTGTGGCAAAGACTCAATTCCTTTGTACAAAGTACAAATATACTTGCCGCAAAACCCTTATATCCAATGTACTGTATGTCAGTAGCTAGTACCATAGCTAAATTGCCATTTTTAATTTCAACTGTAACCCTCCGGTCTGGTGAAGACGACATAAGCTATCTATATTCTTGTATATCTATGGTAACTAAACGATGTGAACTGGTACAACTATGGTAAGGATTGACTGCTAAAAGGTAATTAAAGAATGATAACTGCTATAGAGGTGCGTTTAAATCATTGGAGGTGTTAAACATTTCCAGCAATTAAAGTTTTTTCTTCTTTCATGCTGCAGCAATATTCTTAAAGAATTAGACTTCAGAGGCGACTCTACAGAATTTTTTCAGTTTTTTAAATTACATTTATGGCTTCCTGAAACTGTAAGCTTGTTTCTTTGATAACCATAAAAACCACTTTTTTAAGGCAGAAATGCAAAAATTCAATCTTCAAATTTGTTATTTAAAGAGATCCAGGTCGTAATTAAAGTTTCATTCTTCGTGGAAAACCCTGTATGATAAACATTTTATTGTAATGCAATATTTTAGGTTGATTGTGATGCAATATTTCAGATTGATTGTAATGCAATATTTCAGGTTGACTGTAGTGAAATATTTTAGGTTGATTGGAATGAAATATTTCACGTTGATTTGAATTAAATATTTCACGTTGATTTGAATGAAATATTTCACGTTGATTTGAATGAAATATTTCACGTTGATTGTAATGCAATATTTCAGGTTGTCTGTAGTGAAATATTTTAGGTTGATTGGAATGAAATATTTCACGTTGATTGGTATGAAATATTTCACGTTGATTGTAATGCAATATTTCAGGTTGACTGTAATGAAATATTTTAGGTTGATTGGAATGAAATATTTCACGTTGATTGGAATGAAATATTTCACGTTGATTGTAATGCAATATTTCAGGTTGACTGTAATGAAATTTTTTTAGGTTGATTGTAATGAAATATTTCACGTTTATTGTACTGCAATTTTTCAGGTTGACTGTAATGAAATATTTCAGGTTGATTGTAATGAAGTATTTCAGGTTGATTGTGATGTAATATTCCTAGTTGATTGTTATGCAATATTTCAGGTTGATTGTAATGCAATATTTCAGGATGATTGTAATTCAATATTTCAGGTTGATTGTTATGCAATATTTCAGGTTGATTGTAATGCAATATTTCGGGTTGATCATGATGCAATATTTAACATTGATTGTAATGCAATATTTTAAGCTAATTGTAATTAAATATTTCAGGTTGATTGTAATGCAATATTTCAGGTTGATTGTTATGCAATATTTCAGGTTGATTGTAATGCAATATTTCAGGTCAGGTTGATTGTATGCAATATTTCGGGTTGATCATGATGCAATATTTAACATTGATTGTAATGCAATATTTTAAGCTAATTGTAATTAAATATTTCAGGTTGATTGTAATGCAATATTTCAGGTTGATTGTAATGCAATATTTCAGGTTGATTGTGATGCAATATTTCAGGTTGATTTTGATACAATATTTCAGTTTGATTGTAATGCAATATTTCAGATAGATATTGTTATGCGATATTTCAAGTTGATTGCAATGCAATATTTCAGGTTGACTGTGATGCAATATTTTAGGTTGACTGTGATACAATATTTTAGGTTGACTGTGATGCAATATTTCAGGTTGACTGTGATGCAATCTTTCAGGTTGACTGTGATGCAATATTTCAGGTTGACTATGATGCAATATTTTAGGTTGACTGTGATTCAATATTTTAGGTTGACTGTGATGCAATAATTCAGGTTGACTGTGATGCAATATTTCAGGTTGAATGTGATGCAATATTTTAGGTTGACTGTGATGCAATATTTCAGGTTGAATGTGATGCAATATTTTAGGTTGACTGTGATTCAATATTTTAGGTTGACTGTGATTCAATATTTTAGGTTGACTGTGATGCAATAATTCAGGTTGACTGTGATTCAATATTTCAGGTTGACTGTGATGCAATATTTCAGGTTGAATGTGATGCAATATTTTAGGTTGACTGTGATGCAATATTTGGTAGTGAGGAAATTGATAAACCCAGTGGGCACAAAGCCATGCAATGGGAAATGATTCCTGAGCATATTCAGGTGTGTAAGAAAAATGCGCATTTTATTTCTGTGCATTTATGAATTTGTGTAATTTTACTATTGGGACAATAATTAATCCATTTATAGACATTTTTTAAATGAAAGGGTTCGCCAGCCAGATTCATGAAAAAAGAAATAAAAGTATTTATAGCTTTTTTTATTTAAAATGTGCATTGATTGTATTTTTCCCTTTTTCATTATTTAGCAAGAGTTCACTCACAATGGAAAAGTGTTGGTAAAACCTTGGTTCATTGGTAAGTATTTGCGCATTTCTAGAACAAATATATCATTGTGTTTGATCAAAAATATATCATTGTGTTCGATCAGAAATATATTGTTGTGTTCGATAAGGAATATATCATTGTGTACAATCAGAAATGTTTCATGGTGTTTAATCATAAATATATTATTGTGTTCGACAAGGAATATATCATTGTGTTTGATCAAAAATATGTCATTGTGTTCGGTCGGAAATATATTGTTGTGTTCGATAAGGAATATATCATTGTGTTTGATCAAAAATATGTCATTGTGTTCAGTCAGAAATATATTGTTGTGTTCGATAAGGAATATATCATTGTGTTTGATCAAAAATATGTCATTGTGTTCAGTCAGAAATATATATTGTTGTGTTTGACAAGGAATATATCATTGCGTACAATCAGAAATATTTTATTGTGTTCAATTAGAAATATACTGTTGTGTTTAATCAAAAGTATATTGTTGTGTTTAACCAGAAATATTTCAATGTGTTCAACCAGATATATACTGTTGTGTTCAATCAAAAGTATATTGTTGTGTTCAACCAGAAATATATCATTGTGTTCAACCAGAAATATATCATTGTGTTCGACAAGGAATATATCAAAAATATAACTTAAATAGCCTATCATAAAATTTTATAGATCTTAACAAACTTTTATAATGAACTTTTAATTCAAATGCCATTTTAACTCACATAGAAAAAAATCTCCACAAATATTTTGTACAGAGGAAACACATCAAGGAGGCACACAGAAAGTAGGAGTCTACACTAAAGCAGATGTTCAAAAATATGGTGAGTAACTATATAGGGTTACCCATACAGAACGAGACTATAAAGACGACAAGAAACTTGTTATAGAAAATGTCCCAAAGATAAAATTTTGTCATTCTTATGTTTGAATTTTGCAAAGAAAAAAAAAGTTGTATAAAAACAGTGAAGTCGTTTCTGAAGTTTCATCCTCTGTTAAATATGAAAATGACAATGAAAATTGATGGAAACAAATATGATATTATGTAATTTTGTCAAAAAAGGGAAAAGCTGAAAAGCCTATCCTTTATAACTTACAATGATTTAAAAAAGAGTTAACTGCAAAGGAGGAGCCTTTAACTAAGGCAAGAAACTCTGTAAACATGGCGATCAGAAGGTTGTTCTGAGAAAAATTGGATCTGTAAATAAAACTGTAGAATAAAAAATTTAGATTTAAGGATGAATGACAGAATTGGAAAAAAAACCGAACGCATTCATCTTTATCCAAATAGTCTTTCACAGATAAACTAAATAATTTAGCTGGGAAAACATCAAGCTTGAAACATGAAGATATAGAAGAAGACTAACTAAACTTAACAATTCTCATTATTTGTGAGTAACTCTGTGTTAAAATTCATTAAAAACTTAAGTGTTAATGATTAAAATTCTAGTTGATGCATTTTTGGGTGGAAAACCTCTCGATAATTATGGTTCAGGGAGTGCACTGGTTAACCAGGTGAGATACTAGCAGAAATCTGAACAGCTTTCAAAATTCTGAATCAATTTTCAAGAACAGGTCGACTTTTCTTCAGAGACACCCTGTAAATGTGTATCATTTAATCATTAATGAACAGTTGTCTAGTTTTCCAAGGATAGGGTTGTATTCTGTACAATGTAGATTGTACATCTAAATAACAAAACCGCCAACAGTAAAAACATTTCAATTTTTCGATCAAAAGTGTAAAAAAGTCTAAATACAATATTTGCAAAACGATATTTGATCATTTCAACTTTTTTTCTTCAAATTTTGAGAAAGAGATAATACTTTTTTTTTAGATTTTTAAAAACTTTTTGCCAAAAAATGATAATTTTGGTTATAAAATGAAATGCTTAGAGTCTTATATTAATGAAGAATGCTTAAACTGGATTAACATGGTTTAGAATTAAATGTTAGAATCTATAAAATGGATAAACATGATTTTATAATTAATTGTTTAGAGTCTATAAAAAGGATTTAATATTATTTTAGAATTAAATGTTTAGAGTCTATAAAAAGTATTTAATATGATTTTATAATTAAATGTTTCGAGTCTATAAAAAGGATTTAATATTATTTTAGAATTAAATGTTTAGAGTCTATAAAAAGGATTTAATAATATTTTAAAATTAAATGTTTAAAGTCTATAAAAAGTATTTAAATTATTTTATATTTAAATGTTTAGAGTCTATAAAAAGTATAATATTATTTTATAATTAAATTTTTAGAGCCTAAGCCAGATAGATGTGAAGGATAAAACTGTTCTTGTAATTGGAACTCAGAATCCATGGGTTGAAGCAATCGTTCTTACCAAGTAGGAAAAAAAAATAACTCACCTAGAAAACATAAATAAATTAGAATAATTCAATATAAATAAATTCAAAAGTTTTGATTAGCAAACATTTTTTATATTGAATTCATGTTCATAATTTACAGTGTACTAGAACTTTCGATTTAAAGCAATTGAACAATTAAATGATTATGTGTTAAGTTTGAATCACCAGCTAAAGCTTGATTTTTAGAGATATGTCTAAACTAAGGGATTTAACGTAATCAGTTGGACAGCAAAAGATACAAGAAAAGTGTGTTCAAAACAATTTACAAAAGTCAAACTTTAGATAGATAAAGGTTTGAATAGCAGTGCTGTAAATTGTTGGTGGGGCTCAAAGGGACTGTATCCTATATGTGAGTGGTATATATAATTAACATCAGTTCCCTTTAAACATTTGACTGGTCAAGGTCCAAGGATGACAGAGGTGTTTTTATTTTTTCAAACACACTTGTAAATGTTGATCTCATTGTACTGAAGCTATTTTATAAGAAACATTTTTCTTCGAGTTTCTACGTTAGACAATATTTTGGAAAATGTTTTAAGGCATTTGCGTGGAGCTTATACTGCACATGCTAGTGTACACAATTTCCCGGGTAGAGAATAGAGTTTTCACAAAAGTTTTTAAATAGAAGCACACTCTCTCCGACATTAATAATCAGAGGTTTCAGGGGGTTTCAGACTTAAAAAATGGAGGGCCTCTTTAAATTCTGTCTATAGTCATAGTCCCTTTAATGAAGATTATCTGAAGACTATTATCAGGAATCCAGGTCTAGTGATGACTCTAGAATATGGAATGTTTAAAAGTGAATATCCAAAACTCCAGTTTGTTACTCCAGCAGTTTTCAGGTTTAACTTTTTTTAAATCTCATTTTCTTGCATTAAACTTAAGTAAATTACTTGGCATTTATAAGGGGTAAAAGATGATGTTTCCATACATTTTTTCATCATTATCATCGGTTTAAAATTCTTTAATCACAAAAGTTAAATATGCTAAAAATATTCAATATTTTTTTTTAGAATGCATTCATTCTTCTTTTAAAAACACATCCTAAAGTGTTTTTGTGATTAAAATGAGTCCAAAAATTAAATATCCTTTGAACAACACTTGATTTTTTTATTTCTATAGCTTTATTTGTCCATGGCTGTGAATAACGAATAGTATGCAAAAATAATAGATTTCCCATTATTTTGGAACTCTCCAACAGTGTGCAGTTATAGTATTTTTGCCCTAATTCCTTACCAATTCTAAAAATCGATTGACTTCTAAAATCTACTTGGGAGAATTTAAATTTTGTAACTCAAAAGTTTTACAGAGCCATGTAATTTTAGAAAAAAATAGTCCCCGGGAATGGGTACAAATAAAAGTCTTGATTTTTTTAAAAAACTTATCTTACGTTTAGAGAAAAATATAAGAAAGGAGAACTTCCGCTTTTCGATATAATAATATCATACTCTTCACTAGAACACTCAGGATTAGGTTAGGCTTTAAACTTGATTTTTTAAAGGAATTGTAGTTGTAACTTCAAGTCAATCTCTACATGTAGGGTGATATCTTTGATTCACAACAGTGTTCTTAAAACCTTTGTCTGATCAGGAATAAATTAGATATCCATGTTTGACTCTCTAAAATTTTATTATTTTCAATTGTAGTTTCTCTAGTTTCATTTTACAGATTTGATGTGGGGAAATTATCAAAATTAAACCCTTTCCAGATAGTAAATCGACGATATCCACATAATTGAGCAGAAAAGGTTTATATGGACTGTTTTGACTCGGACATGCCCATCTTTTAAAGGAAAGTCGCTTGAAATTACAAAGATATTTCCTGTAAGGGATTCTCGATCTAATTTCATTAAATGACAGAAATATTCTCGTTTTTCTATCAAAACATTACTGGACGGGTTGTTTTAAAAGTGACTTGCGGATTTATGCAGCCGAGACAAGGAAGAAAGAAATTGATAGAAAACCAAGAAATTCCAGGGCATCTGACCGTGACTCTTTAAGTAAAAGTCATTTGAAAAAATGTTGACTGTTGACTGTTTCATATTATTAATTGCAAAAACAAAACAAAAAATATCTTTTTAACCTCTTATTAATTTCAAGGATCTTATGGTATTATTTGTTTAACATTTTTTTGCTATATTATTTTGCATGATATTGTTTTGTAATGGCATTTATTAATACTTTTTTACTGTTGGTCAATATTGTATTCTAATATTGATATATTTTTTTCTTTTTAATTGTTTTGTAATATTGTTTTCTACTGTGGTTTTGTAATATTGTTTTAAAAATTGTAATCTTATATTGTTTTGTGATTTTGTTTTTTAAAATAATTTTTTAAATATTGTTTTGTAATACTGTTTTTAAATATTGTTTTGTAATACTGTTTTTAAATATTGTTTTGTAATACTGTTGTCAACCATTAACCATGATACATGTAAAGTCGTATTTAACTTAGGACACCCTCTCGGAGACACTAGAATCCAAACCAAATAATTTTAGGCTTCGGTCCTTTGTTCTCCCATCAGAGTGTAAATAACTTAAAGCATTGTGAATCCATCCATTTTCAAAAGTTAAACAAAGAATATTTTCACATAAAGATTTAGCGACTTTCGTTAATAATTAATTGTCATTCTTTTCATAAGTTTAAAAAAAACGTCCTAGGACTGTCCGACGACTTAACCCTCTGATATCCCATAATAGATCGTAAGAATCTTTTCATTATAAACATTCATTGTAACAATTTATATGTTATCATTTATATAATTTTTTCAGGAAATAAAGAGTTTTCTTCATTATCGGTTTTGATTTGAGGGTTATACTGTTGTTTATCTGTTCATTATTGAGAATCTTGTTTCTATCCGACAACAACTGTTTTTAAATATTGTTTGTAATACTGTTTTTAATATTTGTTTTGTAATACTGTTTTAAATATTGTTTTGTAATACTGTTTTTAAATATTGTTTTGTAATACTGTTTTAAAATATTGTTTTGTAATACTGTTTTCAAATATTGTTTTGTAATACTGTTAAATATTGTTTTGTAATACTGTTTTTAAATATTGTGTTGTAATACTGTTTTTAAATATTGTTTTCTAATATTGTTTTTTGTTTTGTTTTTTGATGTTATATTTCAGTATAGTTTTTTGATATTATTTTTTTTAGTATGATTTTAAACTATTGTTTTGTAATATATTTGCATAATATGTTTATTTCATACCTTTGATCAAATTTGACACTACAAATAATGCCTGAGATTTTAAATGTACAAATATAAAAGTTTTTTCAAAATCTAACCAAGGTGATTGGTTTTTAATAAAACAAAACCCCGGTCTTCACTTGAGCTTTACTTGGGTCTAAGCAGACGCAAAGACCGGGTTTTACTCGGGTTTTAGCTTTTAAAATCTCATCTCCGATGTTTTGTAATATTGGATTTTATTTTTTAAATTATTGTTTTGTTTTCACATATATTAAAATTTGAAATATCAATAAGGTAAAAAATTGGAAATTAAAACTAATTATCGATTTTGAAGGACGTTACGGAGATGCAATTAACCCTTGGGGGGATATATTAACTGTTGCAAGAGTCAGTTGTGTGTCTAAACCTGATGCAAAGGTAAATTAAATTAAATCAAATTTAATTTTATAAAAAATAAAAAAAATTTTGGTGTTTATTATGCCTTACAAATAATATTTGGTATATGTATTTTTTATTTTATTTCCAAATACCAAGCTAAAAGTTTTCTAAAAGTTCTAAACGAAACGATCGTTTATGATTAAACCAAATATGATATGTATTCATTTAGAACGCAGTGAACATGAACAAATGGGTTTTATGTGCAAACATCGATTATTAATAATGTACAACGTTCAGCAAATGTTATGGAATATCGTATAACCCGATATTTATTACAAATATACATTATCAGAGATGTAAATTTTTGTTTTGTTAAAACAGCTTCTTATAATAAATTTACTTTACATGTGTGTAGCAACATTTCCAGTTTGAAGACTTAAATTTCACTTTTTACTAATAACTGTATGTATATATAATCTTAATATTCTTCGTCTTCTTCTTTGTCCTACGAAACAGTTTACAAGATAGTATCTAGATTATATTTTTAAAAACAAAAACAACAAAAATTCTCTGTATAGGCTTATCACCCGATAAGCAGAGACAAATTGTAAAAGAAAATTTAAAAAAATGAACTGGAAAATAGTAGGAACAACTGTGCAAACAAAAAAAAGAACAAAATTTATGCTATAATCTTGATATTACTATTTACTACAGTTAATAATTGGAGTCCCAACTGCTGGATTAGACAGGATAGAGTTCAACGCTCACAGGTTATGATTTATTAATGTTTGGGAAGTTCCCTAATCAGGATTTCTTTAACACAAAATTCCAAGTTTCAACTTCTCAAACGTACTTTTTCCTCAGTGGCAACTTCCCAATTGTACAATATACCAAGTATCAACTTCCCAAATTTACAATAGCCCCAAAAGTGACTTTCTAAATTTACAATATCTGAAGTGGGAACTGCCCAAATTTACAATATCTGAAGTGGGAACTGCCCAAATTTACAATATCTAAAGTGGGAACTGCCCAAATTGACAATATCTGAAGTGGGAACTGCCCAAATTTACAATATCTAAAGTGGGAACTGCCTAAATTTACAATATCCGAAGTGGGAACTGCCCAAATTTACAATATCTGAAGTGGGAACTGCCCAAATTTACAATATCTGAAGTGGGAACTGCCCAAATTTACAATATCTGAAGTGGGAACTGCCCAAATTTACAATATCNATCTCAACTCTAATGAGTTTAATAACCTGGAGAGAGCAGAAACCTGTTGTTCCAGTTCTAGTTGATCTGCACCACCAATATGAAGTTATACACTACCAATATGAAGTTGCTACTGATGTTCGTCAATTTATAATCCTTTGTTCAATTTCAATCAACCAATTTTAACTTCGCCATTTGTGCAAATATTTCAAAACAATATTATTTTTCTTAAATAAATGTTATAGAATATTTGGGTTTTTCCTGATTTCTTTATTTGTATATTTTCTGACCTTTTTTAAAGGTCAACAATTTTATATTTATTGATGAAGAAAATGATTTGTTGAAGAGACTAGTAATACATTTTATCCAAATAATTTTATTTTTAATCAATTTTATTAGGATAATTCTATTTATCAATTCAATTATTAAGAGAATTTTATTAATCAATTCATTTTATTCAGTAATTCCTTTTATTCAGAGAATTATATTTATCAATTGATTTTATGAAGAGAATTATTTTCATCAATTCATTTCATCCAGAGAATTATGTAAATCAATTCATTTTATAAAAAGAATTATATTCAACAATTCATTTAATCAAGTGAATTATTTTCATAATTCATTTTATTAAGAGAAATTATGTTCATCAATTAATTTTATAAAGAGAATTTTATACATCATTTCATTTTATTCAGAGAATTATGTTAATTGATTCATTCTATCAAGCGAATAGTATTCATCAATGTATTTATCAAGAGAATCATGTTCATCAATTCATTTTTTAAAGAGAATTCTGTTCATCAATTCATTTTATCAAGTTAATTATATTCAATATTTCCTTTTATTAAGAGAATTATATTCATCAATTCATTTTTTTAAGAGAACTCTATTCATCAATTCATTTAATCAAGTGAATTATATTTAATAATTCCTTTTATTAAGAGGATTATATTCATCAATTCATTTTATCAAGAGAATCATACACATCATTTCATTTTGTTAAGAGAATTATATTTATCAATTCATTTTATCAGGTGAATTCTATTCATCAATTCGTTTTAATAAGAGAAATCTATTCATCAATTCATTTAATTCAATTATCTATTCAGTCAAAAATTTGTTTAAATGTTTTATTTTACAATTTTTCTGATTTTTAGGAAATAAAAGACCTTCTGCTAATGAACCAGCTTCCTACCAACCTGTTTATATTTTTGAAAAAAATCATTATTGACACAAATCTTATTACGTTTTCTAAAATGTTTAATGACGATGACGAGTTTTTTTACTGAACGAATGATTTTATTGAACAAACGATTTTGCTATTTTACTGAACAATCATTCAGCGAGAAAACTAACGAAATAGATGGAAAATAAACGATAATTTTGAGAACAAACGAAATAATTTTTTTGTGAATGATTTAAAAAAACGGTTTCAATTGAGCGCCGGCTTGAATCTTGAAAAAATTAATACAATTTTAAGCGAAACCAACCATATTTGCGCCGCGGCTTAAATTCTTTTAAGTCTAAATTCAAAATTGTATACATCATGGAATTAGAATTCTTTTAATGTACCTAGAAATACGCATATGTACTTGATTAAAAGTATTTCACAATGTTTACGTGTAAAAACTATGTTAGCATAGTAGATGTGTATCTTTCTATGAGACTATTGAAGCAAGTTCTAAGCTTTGCATTAGATTTCTTTCTAATTTATGCAAAAATGACCTTAACACTGTTGGCAGAAATTCGTTTTCCATTGCAAATGATTGTTCTGTAAATCTTTCCAATCTTAGTAAAATGTTAGTTAAGAAACAAATGAAATATTTTGATGTTCCATTGGAAAGTTCCGGTTTTACAAGAATTTTTAAATACAAGAACGAATAATTTATATGTTGAAGGATTCGATGATGACGTAATAACTGAAATGATAAATATGTTATGTAATGAGTTATGTTCAATGTCGCCTATTTGTGCATAATTTTGCATATTTTTTTTTCTTTTGTAAAGCTATATATTCAAAAATGTTTTTAAACAAATTTAAACTACACCTGTTATGTATGTATTTATATCTTTGTGCGTGAATAATTCTTTAAAATATATAATAATAATTTGCCTCAAATTCTAAGTAGAACGGCGGGAACATTTTCAGCTTGGTTTAGAAGTTCTAAACCAGGCAATGTTTTTTTTTCATAATCTTAAAATGTGTTTTTGATAGTTAATTTTTTTTCTGAAATAAAATTGATCAATTTGTTTATTTATTTTCATTCAATAATAAGAGGAATTTTGATTGAAAACATGATTACTTTAGCTTAACGTGAATCGAGCTCTAGTCGAATTTTTGATCCTCTTTTTGCTGGTTTTTACTTATGCGAAAGGAAATTGTTGTCTTATTATGCATACGCAATTTAATTATAAAACTATTGAATTGAATTGGCAGTTTTCCTGATCTGATTAAGATACTTCTTTTTCAACTTTAAAATTAATTATAAATTCTTGTTAACACCCTAATTATTAACTTAATTACTTTTTAGATATTTACCAAACTAAATTATCAGATTTTTTCTCATCAAAATATGTACAATGTACATAAAGAATTTCAACTTGAAATACGGCATTTATTTTACAAAATTCGATTTTTCAAAGTTTAAACATGCAAATTTAAATGGTAAATTTTTCTTAAATTCGAATGTGTTATCTTACTAAAAACAAACGTTTGTGAAGGGGTTTTTATGGTTCATCGATGCCTTCGAAGAAATTCCAATTGGGCTTAATATACAGGCTTTACCTATCTACAGTGATAACCAAAAACTGTGGAGTAGGAAGATGATATTAAAGCAATAATGAAGTTGCTAATTATCAAACAGTTTGACTTGTAACGATTGAAATCACATCTTTACTGACATGTGTCTGTTTTTACTGCAACATTCCTGTGTTTTAATTTGTTTATTTGACTATATAAAGTAGGGTTTCCAAGTAATGGCATTTTTCTTTGCGATTCGTTGTTGCGTAAAGCAATTTGCCATGAAGACATCATAGAGGCTTCGCGCCATTAATACTGTAATAGACCATTAACAGTTGCGCATTTAACAATTTTCTTGACTATTAACGAATTTGTTCTTGGCACTTTGCGCCGTTAACGTAATAGAACGTTAACTACTGGAGCCGTCAATGATTATTGAAAATTTTCCATTACGTCGTTAATAGAATTAATATCGTTAATTAACGGTAATTTAAAAAACAGTTAATGTTAACAAAACGAAACCGTTCTTCCCTTTAAAATTAACGGCTACCTGAAATTTTTCTTTTTTGACGGTTGGAATTAACCGTTAACGAATCAGCTAGTTAAAGTTGGAACATGCCCAGCCCTATACGTAAAAATATGAAAACAAGATAAAGCATCGGATGTAGTTTATTTTGCAAATACTGCGATTAGAAGCTTACTGTGGTATGCATGTCTTTTTAAGAAAGAGTGTCCTAAACTGAAATTATCCAAACTTTGTTTTTTTATACATACTAGGCATTTAGGGCGCTTCGCGCCCATCTTCTATTTTAATTGTGAACATATTCTCTTTGTGTACATTGTAAAACAAAACAAAAAAGTTCGCGGATTTTAGTAAAACATTTCGTGGATTTTTAAATATTTAAAATTTTTTTTATGAAAATCGAATTTTGATGGAGGCAAATTTTTTAATTTTGATCATTCATAAATCTTACCTGGGGCCACATGAAGCCCTAGACAAAACTTGTGCCCGATAGGTTAAAAGGTTTTGACGTTTATTGGATACAAACAGACAGACAGACAAGCAAAGTACATATATAGATTAACTAGGATTTTAGGGCGCTTCGCGCCCATGTTCTATTTAAATTGTGAACATGCTCTTTTTGTTTACATTTTTAAACAAAGAAGAAAAAAATTTTGCGGATTTTTAAAAAAAAATTTGCGGATTTTCAAGAATTTAAATTTTTTTTACAAAATTAAAAACCTTTAAAACACATTTTTTTTATTTTTNAAAATTATAAAAAAAGGTGTCAAAAGTATGCTTACGCTAGAGCGCTAAAACATCTTCATTTTTCCACCAACAAAATGGATGAAAAATGTATAAAAACATGTGTAAAAGATAATTTAGATATCGTTTCCTTCTGGTTACCCGAAAGGAAACGTGAAAGACCTGTCACAATTGATACTTTATGAATACCGAAAAATATAGATAAATTGATTCTAAGAAACTGGAAAAGTGAAATATGTTGACATGTTGACATGTTGATATTGTATCTAAATATTAGAAAAAAAGTGCCGAAAGCTCACCTTGCGTTAACACATGGTTGAAATTCTAATGAAAAAGTGAAAGCTCTATAGAAACTAACCCTCTGTGAAAAGCTTAATCGAAAATAATTATTGCTTATAAAGGAAGCGGGACATTCAGCAGAACATTTCAGTAAACTTAGCCGAGGAGGGTAGTAATATTATACATTGTTATATTCTGCATAATCATTAAATCTATTATCAATTATATTATAAACGGTATTAACGACTGAGTTGGGTCTAAGTACCACGCTTGTGAAGAATGCATATATTCTTTTTATGGGGATTGTATTGCTTTGCAAAATAGAAAAAAATCAAAATTTTCGAAAGTTTAATATGATAGATTGATAACATCACAGATAGAACAATAGATGTCGTCTTTTCAAGATTTAGGGGTTTTTCGTTTAAAATAACCCTAAGGCAGAGGCCCAAAGGAGATACGCGCATGCGGCGTAGTACAGACTCTATCTCTGTCTTAAAATTCAACACTGCATGCGCGTAACTCTGAGGCCCTGATGGATGGATATCAAAGGATGCAATAATTATTTGAATATTTAAAGAATATGGCAAAAACACATTTTAGCATTTTTTTATTCTATTTATCTTTGTTATTTTTCAATTCGCATACATTACAGTATCGGTACGGTAATCACCGAAAAGTTCTTAGAAAAAAAGTTTTCGGAAATAAAATCCTAAATTTTGGTAATAGTC